GTTTATTGAAAGATTGAATGGCCAAGATCGGTTAACAAAGTTAACACAAAAACTTTGGTTAACATTTGATCTTACCCCTATATATATATATATATATATATACGATAAATAGAACAAATAAACTTACACATTTTTTTTGTCATTGGTGAGGTTTGAACTTCTGACCTCCTAAGAAGCTAAAGACTCACATACCGCTAGGTCAAAAAACCAATGTTTAAATGGGAAATTAAAGTTACAAAATGTGAAAGCCCATAAATAGGAAGGAGTAGGGTATGAATGTGAATTTTTATTGGTAACTCCAATCAAATAAATATAAATATTGTCTCCCTTTAATTTATACAACATTTATTTATGTGCAATGTGACATTGTTTGTTATTTCATGGCAAAATAAAGAATATTTTTATTATCAATTACTTTTTTGTATTTTTTATAAAATATTTTATCTTATTGAAGTCAATCATATTTTATTTGTAACATGTTGGGGTAACTGTACCAGATATTTTTCATTTTGCCTATATCTGAACTGACGATTTTAAAACGCATTTATTAAATTTGATATCCAGTTTCTTATATAACAATTTTAATTCAATTATTAAAAAACGGGTCAATTTGGATTGTATTTTTTTATCGACAATGAAATGATTGGTTAGAAATGAAATCGGAAATGGCTTACAACCTTTTAAATGGTTTTATTTAGTAGAATTGAATTACTGATAATACATCAGTTATCATATTAAATATTTTAAACATATAACAGTTCTATTTTCACCATCAGACATCACGTCTTCCTTAACACAATAACATTACAGAGTTAAATACAATTCCAAAACTGAAAAAACAACTCATAGCGAAAGTTTTTTTTACAACTGATACAGTGTCTATCAGTATTTACTTGTCCCATCTTGAACTAATACATTACATATGATAAGAACTACACGTCGAGAGGGCTTTTGGAAGCAATATTGAGATATCATCTCTCCCATGTGGTACGATTCACTGTTCTGTCTCGTTTGTTCACCAAAACGACATCGTATGCAATAATTTACCCGGTAAGCGCTTACCGCGGTGAGAGTCATCGCCCTCACTTACGGGGTAAGACTCATGGTCCTTGTCTCGCTCTTACCGGGTAAGATTCTTGGTCCTTATCATATTCATCCGGTGAGGTAATGTTACTTGGTAAGCGTTTATCGAGGTAAGCGTTTGGTAAACGACCCCTAAGTAAACATGCAACACATGTTACTAAATGTATTCAAATTTAAATTTCATAACTTCTAAATAAATCATTAACTTTTAATAAATGACAGTTAATATTAGGTTCTTTTGTTAACCCAATATATAGTGTTAACTTTGTGAATCCATCACAACCCTTCATCTTGAAAATCAATAGATCAGATTTATGATGACATTTTTGCAATAATAACGAGCATGATACTTTATTACTTTACCTTACAAGACATACATACATGAACAAGGGTATTATTGGAAGAAAAATCATAATATTTCTTTACTTCCAATTAGAATCATTTAGTTACTTTTCTGTTACACATTGTTCACATATGAACACATACTAAACATTTTCTCCGTCACACATTATTCACATCGTTCCGTTACTTTTCCGAATCTGGAGTATTGTAAATCTGTTATGAAACTTTTAGAAAAGGAATAAAAAAAGGTGTTGACAGATCAATTCAACTTGTTTTAAAATATTTGTGGAGTAAATTTTGAGAAATCTGATTTATTTGAAAATACGTCAGATTTGGTATTTCATAGTAAACTCTGTATAAACGATGGGACGAGAAATAACAGTTGTCATCGAAAAGTATGTGATAGCACAAAAACAAACGTGAAATAAATATGAGAAAAGATACAACAAACAAACACATACTTTTTGAAACATATACAAAGTGATAAGTATGTGATACTTGTCTACAAATAAAAAAAAGGGGGCCCATTTTATTATTCCTCGTCTTGACAGATGAACATCGAACATTTTACTTTTTAGCTTAAGCCCACGTTGTTTGACGTTGAGGCTGTTTCGGTAATTTTATCTGTTAACGTTTATGCCAGTTTTTATCACTCGTTTATAGTGCACTATACAATCATTAGAACAAAATTCGAATACAATCTATTTAGTTTCTACGTAAAATATTTGATAATAAGTCAAAATGTGGCATGTCAGTTCGGGTTGTTAACCACCACACTATGTATGATTTACAGAAAAACGTCACTAAAATAACGATCGAGTCTTTTTTAGTGAAAAAAATTAATAATAGTTTAAACACTAATTATGCAATGTACGACTTTTAAGTCGTTTAATTTGTTTATTTTTAATTATATCCAGAGTTGTCTTTTAGCATGTTAAATGTGGGATTTTGAACAGAGACTCTGAAATTTTGGGGCCCAAATTTACATGTGTTTAGGGTCTTTTTTATCGACATGTGTAAAACTATAACCGAAATTACTTAGGTTCAAACCATTAATTATTTGGTTTTAGGTTCAAATCATTAATGCTTTAGGTTTAGCTTCAGGTTATTAATCGTTTTAAGTTTAGCCCATTTTTATTTTTAACATATATTATCTGTCATCTCATTTATGCAATGTAATCAAAAGTTTTGGATGTAACTGGCCCTCCAAAAAGATTGGAACGTCTCTGCCTATATCTACTAATTTTGCTCATTTGACCGTTTAAATTAAAATACTGTATATACGAACCAATTTTTATACCAACCAAACCCATAAAGCTACAAGGTATGCAAGTATATATATGGCCGTAGGTGGGATAAATGCACCATGACCTGTTAATTTTATATTTATACTGATCAACATCAAAACTTATTTTTTACATTTTTAATGTATGATTTGATCTGAATCTAACATTATTAAAGATGTATATGCAGCGGCGGATCCAATGGCAAAAAGGAGGAGGGAAGGGACCCCAGTCAAAAACTCAAAAAAAAATTCATAGGTTAAAATTTAAATGATTTACCTTTCACTTTCCCACATTACATTTTTCCACAGGCCCCCAACCCCAATCGAAACCATTGCTCTAACAAAAAAAAATCTGTTGAAATCAATAAGAAAAACAAAAAAAGTTATTCGAAATCGACAAAAACACTAAAAATCCCTCGAAATCAACAAAAAAAACTTTAAAATTCCCTCGAAAATGTTGTAATTAGGTTAAAAATACATCGAACGATTTTGCGGGTCTTAGTCTACCTTAAAGGTTACCCTACTGAACAAAAATTCTGGATCCACCACTGTGTATATAACAACATCCCGTATGTATTAAGCATAAATTATAATTTTTTGCATTGTCTAAAATTAAATAAAAAAACAATTATTTTTGTAACACAAATATATTATAATAAATTATTTATATTAAAAAACAATATTTGGTGAAATAAAACGCCAAATGTTTATCGTTGTCCAAACAACTTGATTTAAACAAGTTAAGTGATAAAAATAACAAAATATAGGTTGCCTTTAGTGGAATTTTTTATTTTTTTTAAATTAAAATAATTTTTTTAAATATATATATATATATAATATTTATATACGACAAATTGAAATAATATTTAATATTTATTTAATAATTAATATTAATCAGGATTATAATTTAAAAAAATAATAATAACCTCTGCTAGGTTTTCAATAAGTTAGATTATGTACATCAAAACATGTACTCAAAATATAAGTTAGCTTATATTTGTCAAACAATGTCTTAAAATGTCATTTATTTATTTAAAAGTCCAAGGCCTTGTTTTTTTTAAAGCTCTTATCAGCCACTTACATCTGATTCTTTAAGAGATAGAGTTATTTATACTGTTTTTTTTTTTCCAGATTTTCAAAGACACTTATTTCTTATTGTCTTCTTATCTGGTAAGAGGTAAAACAATATCTTATTTGCCTCTGATTTTTATCCAAGCCCTCAACAACGCTGTTTCTCAATAAATCTTTACCAAGTCGATCATGCCCTCTCTCAATTGATGTATTTTAATACGATTTAAATGTGTTAAGTATCGTTAATGACATATTTTCATTTAAATAAATGTTAATTATATAATTTAGATATAAATTTCGTAATGATTATGAATAAGTATATAAATTGTATAAATTCAATACTATAACTTTATAATTGACAAAATTAAATAAATTAATATATTTATCACTTTATAAAAACAAATAGTCTTATTAATTCATATTTCAGACTTCAGCACCACTTCTTATCAATCATAAATGAAATAAGACTTCAGACTTTTGTATCTCCTAAAAAACAAACGCCATCTAATAATTACACATTTATAAAACTGTATATTATTTTTACTATGAATATTTATTTTGAATTACATAATAGTAATATTTTTTTTTGATTAATCTGGATATCTAACCAGTTATGCGAGTCGACTAATCCCAGGACGACCATCTGCTTTGCAGATAAACCGGAGTCACCACATTTGAACCTCCGTGGCCACAAAGGGGATTTCCATTCCTCCTTCACTCATTGGATTTGAACCTGAAATCTCTTGATATTTTTGATCTTTGGAGTCAAGCTCAAACCAATTAGACACAATATGTGGTTATAATAGTAATATTTTTATTCCTCATGTTTCCAAATTATCTCACATTTTAGTAATGCTTTTAAACCTTATTTTATACAAAATATATATTTTTGGCCCTTTTCCTAGAGCCTGGCAATTGGGCATGCAAGTCCCTTGCTTTCTCTCTCTACCCTTTCTCTCTCTATATGTATATGTATATATATATATATATATATATATATATATTTGTGTGTGTATATATATATGAACTCATACCAACATTTGTGGGTGCATTTAGACTCCAACACTTGTACAAACCTCCATTTATTTCTCCCTCCTCATCTAAGCCTCACATTGCTTCACTTCTCTTTCTCTCTCTAAACTTCTCTGTGTTCACTTTCGGGTCGGACTATCCATTTCAAGATTTCTTGATCAACTGCAAAGCTGAAGAATACTTAACAATGGCTGACCTTCCAGACTCCAACCTGTTTGCCAACGAACCGAATCCGAAAATGGGTAAAAGGAGCAGAGAAGCTGATAGCAAAAACAACAGCAAGCATCCGATTTATAGAGGAGTTCGGATGCGGGCATGGGGGAAATGGGTATCCGAGATCCGAGAACCCAAGAAGAAGTCTCGGATCTGGCTTGGTACCTTCTCTGACCCGGAAATGGCGGCACGTGCACACGACGTCGCTGCACTGTCCATAAAAGGAAAGTCGGCGATTCTTAACTTCCCCGACCTCGCCGGAATTTTACCCCGACCGGAGTCTTGCTCACCACGTGACGTCCAGGCGGCGGCCACCAAAGCTGCCGCCATGAACCACCTTAACCCAACCCCATCCACACCCTCCACGTCATCTTCATCGTCGTACTCCGCCGTCTCCACTCTAACGTCGGAGGAGGTGTCAACTGGGTCACCGCCGGCGGAGGAGTTGGATGAGATAGTGGAACTACCGAGTTTGGGAGAGAGTTATGACTCCGCCGAGTCAAGAAACGATTACGTGTTTGTTGACTCGGGATGGGACTACTACTCATCGTCGACGCCGTGGCCGGAGAATTACGACGGTGGGTATTTCGCCGGAGAGCCGTTGTCCATATTATCCTCCGATACCTTCTTTCCCGACGCCTTATCATGGCAACATTCTTAAAATAAATTCAAAAGTGAATTTGTGTGTATTTTCCTCTCTTTTTTTATATATTTTATTTTATTTTTATTTGGAATTTTGATTTTTGGCCCTTTTTAAATTATTGGGTATTTTTGGTTTCAATATATTTGAAGGGGTAAAATAATTAAATATAATTAATAATGTATTTTCAAGTTATTTCTTTGTGTTAATTATCATATTAATGGGGGTATTTGATTTTAAAGATTATTATAAAATAAAATAAAATGTCAATTCTTATTTTTCGAATATAATAATGCAGTTATCACCGTCAATGAATAAAAGTACTATAGTCATTGGAGTTTTCATACACGAATGATGGTGATGTAGATAAAGTTAGTCATAATAACAGTGCGATGAATGTTATATATCAGTCTTGATTTATCTGATATTTTTAAGATTATTACTAAAAACGTTGTAAAAAATGTCAGAAACTTAGGTGGCGTTTGTTTTTTAAGAGGTGCTGAAATCTGAAGTCTGATTTCACTTCTGATTTATAAGAGGTGGTTCTAAAGTCTGAAATCTGGATCAATAAAATTGTTTGTTTTTACATCTGAAGTCTGAAATCTGAATCTGTCAAACTAATGCAAAAATATAAAAGATAAATAGTTTTTTATAAAGGTATAAAAGATAAATAGTTTTTGCTAACAAATCTCTTTCAACCCCCAAAATAAGAACCATTTGATAGAGGGCGTTTATTATTAAGARRTATTAAGTGATATGTTTACCACTTAAATTTCAGAGGACAATTAGAGCTTTTAAGCTCTTATTTTAGAAAACGCTCTTAACATCCAAACGTCTGAACGAATCAGACTTCAGAGGTATTAAGAGGTAATTTTGAAAAAACAAACAGACCCTTAATATTTTATGTTTGTAATGATATGATTGTCAGTGTCACTGTATAAAAGGGTTTTTGATAATTAGATTCGTTCCATAAAGCAGAGGAAACGCGTGCAGACATAATAACTGTGAGCTACATTGATGGTTGAAAGAATATTATCTTCGTTCTAGACTTACCTGTTGTTTAAATGTTATATCAAATGATTTCGTTCTTACCTTTACGATTTCACTGTCTTCATTATTTTGTAACTTTTCGAGATGGTTTAACGTAAATGACATGTTAGGGTGAACGTAGCTGCTTAAACCTTATCTCGAGCCCTCGAGGTTCTGTGTCTTAATGGGATTTTCCTACACGATATATAACGTTATCAAAGGAAAGACATTTATCCCCTACACTGTGTTTCTTTCACTTTATCTCTTTCATATCCAATTGTTACATGAACGTCTTTTTTAGAGAGAGAGAGAGAGAGTTTGACTTTTAAATTTTTGAAGTGTCAACGTTTTCTAACATTTTTGGAAACAGTTTTTCAAAAAATTGAATAATCAATGAGAATGAAAATAAAAGAAACTGTTTGGTTTTCTATAATATAATGAGCTCATTCCCACAGAAGCCCAAAATTTTATTTAAGTTTCTAGGTTTGTTGATAAAATAAGAAAGTGTGAGTAGAGTTACACATGGACCAGTCCTATACTGACATTTTAGTCTGGTTAAAAAGTTTCGGTAAAAAAAGGGAAAATATAACATGAGCTTGTCATTGTACCAGATTTCTCATGTCCAACAAAAGGACTGTATTTGTATTTTTGGGATAAGGACAGTGATCCCAAAGAATTATACCAGACTTACCAGTAAGAGTTAGCTGACTGAATAAGTTGTGAGCTTTATTAAGTTTATTAAGCTGCTAAAAAAACAAGCCATAAGTCTTATTAAAATAATCTATTAAGACAGGTAAACATTTTCAATATCTTATGAAGTTTGATTTTGTTAATACTGTTGTATTTGTTATAACATTTTCGATCTCCTTCTTTTTGATCTTTTTTTGTCTACCAGTTCCCATTTTTATATAATTTATTGGAGTACATATAGATAGATAGAAAAAAAAAAGGAGAACTGAAAGACAAAAAAAAGACTAGAAAAAGGAGATTGATGACAATGGCCAACGACCGCAATGAGTTGATCAGTGATACAAAGTCGACGACGATGGGGGCACCGAGGGTGGCAAGTGGAAGCAATAGCGGATCAAAGATCTTTGACCAGTGGGGGGCACCTTTAAGGTAGATTAAATGACTCGTGAAGTTGTCAGATGTCTTTTAACCTAATTCCACTGTTTCGAGAGATATTTAAAGTTTTTTTTTTTTTTTTTTAATTTGAGGGATTTTTAAGTTTTTTTTTTTTTTTTTTGTCGATTTAGATGGTATTTTTCGGTTTTTGGTTGATTTCGAGATACTTTTTTTGGTTGGTGGGGCAGATGAGAAATTACTGAGGGAACCCATGTAGAAAACTATAGAAAAAATTATTTTTAACCGGTTATAAGTAGTTTTTTTAAGTTAAAATGATATAATTAACAGTTTTTAAAAGTTTGATGGTTTATTTATTAAAAAAATTAATAATTTATCCTTTTTAATTTGATGACCACCTACTTTATGTTTACTGTTTAGAAGACAACATTTAATAGAATCATAAATAAATAACTAAATTCGAAAAGGACAACCTTTCTCTGTCTATAATCATATAATACGCTTTTTAACACTTTCCTTTTTTTTTATTTCTATTTTTTAATTAAATTATTTATTATCCCTAAATTAAATAAAATTATTATACGAATTAACAATTGACGAATTTGACTCATGAATAGTCCGGAGTAATAACAAGTGAATCTATATGGATAGAAGGGATTTGATAATGAATGGGTTTGAGCTTATAGAATATTAACCGGTATGTCAAAATCAAAGTGGTTAAATTGTAGGTATTTGGTATATGCTAAAATGGATGAGTCAAACGGTTAAGTAAAGAAACGAAATGGGGAGGTTTTTTGTTTACACACATATATTATATATATATATATATATATATATATATATATATAGGGTTAGGTTCACGTAAGACCAACCTGTTTTTGTGAGACCATTTTTTTATACTTGAAACTTTATAACAAAACGCTGTGAAGGTAAAAAAAAACCAAATCTTCACAACAAAAACAATGTGTTCTCGTTTAAACTCTTATATATATATATATATATATATATATATATATATATATCAAACATTGTGAAGGTTACATTCACAGTGTTTTACTGTAAAATTTCAAGTGTAAAAAGATGGTCTCACGGGTCTTGCGAAAACAAGTTGGTCTCACATGATCCAAGTCTATATATATGGGGTTGGATTCCGGTGAGAAGCGTAATAAAAGATCACCATCCCTTGGATCAATCCTAATTGAATGTCAGCACTAATGAGATGCATCAAGATCCACCAGATCAATTCCATTCTAAAGCATCATTCAAGAGTGGACATTAGATTAAAAGTGACCAGGGGTTTAAATCTCCTCTTACATTTCTCACCATAACTTCCCTTTTCACACGATGATTTGCCTACATACATACATACATACATACATACATACATACATACATACACACACACACACACACACATATATATATATATATATATATATATATATATATATATATATATATATATATATAAAGAGTTGAGTTAAGGTGAGAAGTGTAAGAAGAGATCTACGCTCTTAGATGCACACTAGGATAAGATGCACCGAGATGAGATGCATTGAGATGAACCGGATCAATCCTCGTATCGTGAGTGATTCATGAGTGAGTTTGAAACTAAATGTGATCAAGGATCCAGATCCCTTCTTACGCTTCTCATAACCTTCCTTCTCAGTGTCACACGATCATTCGCCTATATATTAAATGGTAACTACAAAAGGAGTAGAAAATCATAAAAACCATTGATCACGTGTCATTTCACTTACTGAAACAATAAATGTGAACATACAGTGTTACTTCATACATAAATGCATTGTTTCACACATAATAAGTGGTTATTAAGTTTCTCAAACTTTTGTGATCCTCATTTGATTATATGTATATACGGAAAACATCCCAAGAAAAAAAAAGAATCGAATATTCGTGAATAAAACGGATGAAAAAGTATATTAAAACAGATGTCAAATTAAAGATGTCAAACATATCGTTTTTTGTTATAATTTCTTTCACTTCAATTTTTGTTATATTTTGTAGATTTTTGATTTAAAAAACAGGGAATCAATCATAATTTTTTTTTTTCAAAATGTCGTTATAACTACTTTTTAACCATATCCATTGGATCATTTTAATCTAACCGTTTGAATAAGTTATTAAGTACTTCTTTTTCCACGTTTCTCCCTATCTCACCCCTAATATACACACACACACACACACACACACATATATATATATATATATATATATATATATATAGAAAAGAGTTCAAACAAGAACATATTCATTTTACGAGAACGGGAGAACACCCTTTTACTATAGACAATCATATGTGATACTATTATTCCATCACATATGATACAGATGTGATACTAAATTAGAGACGCGGACGATTTTCGATGTGATATTGGTTGCGGGCCAAGTCGCCCTTACACCACTAAGCCCCTTACAAGTATTATCATATGTGATAAGGGTGTTATTGATATGATACTATATCCATCAAGACTATTTTTATTCTTAACATATATTCCATGTTATCTCATTTATGCAATATAATCAAAAAATTTGAATGTAGCATGGTCTTCACATGTGATGTTAAATCATAGACACAGACAACTTTTGGTGCGGCCTAAGTCGTACAACACATCGTCCGCAAATCACAGGGTCCCCTCATGCGTATTATGACATTGATAAGTGTGTTCTCTCGTTCTCGTAAAATGGAGGTGTTTACGTTTGAACCTACACACACATATATATATATATATATATATATATAATTGAATTTTAATGATTTAATCATATTTAAAAAAATGGGTAGTAAGGCAATCTAGATATTTATCTAAAGAAGGAAACATGAAACATGCACCATGGCAGTGCCAGGAAGTTAATTGATGCAATAAAATCCAGGGTGCAATCTTAAC